GGCCCCCCCAGACTTACCAGCCAGATGCTGATCTCCAAGCTGCCATGCTGCATTCCTGGCTATGTGCGTGCTGTGGCTGTGCCCATGCACACAGCATTTATTAGTGACATTAATCAGCTACATCAGCCACAAAAAGCTGATTGGTGATAATGCAAATTTTCCTTTTATCAGTGCTGATATGATATGGACCAGTGTATTGCTGGAACTCTATCTGCTAGCCCCCTCAGTTCCTCATGTGTAAAACAAAGATAATGTATCCTTTCTTTGTTTTGCTTATTTAAATTCATGGATTGTCTTTGATAGTATGTCTACACAGTGCTTAGCACAATAGGTACTTGAACCTGGATGCTCCCCCTAGTCATTATGTACAAACAAATAAATAATGGTCATTTTAATAATTGAACATGGAGGTGACAAAACACAGTTGTGCACTAGTAGGTTCTGCAGCCAAAAGGAATAGTTGAGGTTTTAGGTTAGAGGCACAAAAAGCCAATTAAAATAAAGGGAGATGTGGCATGTTTTTGGGAAGTGTCTAGGTTTATGGTAATCAGACATCCAGAGCCAAGTAGAGTGTAGGAAATTATGGAGATAGAGTTAAAAGACATATACTTTGTTTCAATTACTGTACAAATTCCCTCTGCATATAATTACAAGCAGGCTAACAATTCCATTTCACAAAAATAGAAAATAATTGTATGCATCGTGTTTAAAAGGTTCTGGTAAAAATATTTAACATAATTTCTGCATACTACATTCACTATTCTATGTGTATAATCCTGCATTTAAGATGATGTTCTATGTTTTTAGCACATGATGGTGATGGAGGATATGCTAAAGGACTTTTTGCTGGGAGAACACCTGCTTTTAGTTGGCAACCAGGTGAGTTAGAAAAACTATTTCTTCAGTACATGGGCCACAGTTTGTGGCAATAAATTGAACCTGTATTTGTTGTTTCATGTGCTAGTATCTGTGTGTGCTGTTGGACTATAGTTTCAGAAAATCAAATTATTCCAGAGAACTCTAAACCTAAGAAAACAAAATACCAAAAATCTTCTGTTGGAAAGATTCTTCTCAACTAGTATGTGGTGAAGTGGGACTCCGACTAGCCACAGTGCTAGTTTTCCCCACTTGACTTTGGGCACACCCTCCCACCTGACTTTGCTGCCATGCCTTGTTGTTAATTAATTATCAACTTAATTAATTAAGGCGGGAGGCTACCCATTCTTGCCCCGCTGCCAGGGGGCACTGTCTGCAGCTCCATTCCTTCCCACAGCTGCAGCCCAGGCCTTGCAGATGGCATCCAGGTGACACAGTGCTCCTGGCTTACTGCCAGACCAAGCTTGGGCCTTGTTGTCAGGCCTAAGACACTCACATTCATACCGCCCTCCTCTCATGAGGGCCTCTCACGCTCCACCCCCTCTCACAGGGTCTCTTTCACACATCGACAACTTAAGCTACCTTGCTTCCGCTCGGAGCAGGCCCCTTAGGCCATAGGCTTAGCTAGTTCATACCTTGGGTGGCAGACGTACCGTCTTTTGGGCCTCTCCCATGACCCTCATTGAGGTAGTGGCCAGCCAGTTACCTGACCAGGTCGGAGCCCCTTCTGGGAGCAACTCTCTCTCTAATACACATACACACACTGGGCTCTCAGCCCTCTGGTTTTCCCCCACTTCACTGGGGCTCCACACCACCCCCTTCACTCAAGGCCATGGGACTTCCCTCTCCAGTGGGCTCAGGTGGCCATAGCCGTGCCTGGCCCCAACTATCTTTCCTCAAGGTCTTGCACCCCACAAGGCTCAGGTGGCCACAGCCGTACCTGGCCCCAGTTCTCACTTCTTGGGGACTTGCATCCCACAGGGCTCAGGTGGCTGTAGCCGTGCCTGGCCCCAACTACCTCTGGTGTTACGTGACCCACCCGAAGGTGAGGACTAGGGTTAAGGCGCCCCTACCCGCCTTTCACCGGCGTGATAACTGGGTTGGCATTTCCTGGGAGCTCCCGCACCACTGAGAGCCCCACCAGGCCACTCACTCCCGGCAGGGTGCAGTTTTAGGTTGTGCCCAGGACCAGGAGCCTCCAAACCATCCCCTACAGCTCCTCCCTTACCTCCAGGATGTTATGTAGCCTTGCAGCCAGGTAATGTTACTGCCTGGGCTGCTAGCAGTGGACTGCCCTGTTTATATGGGTGGCCAGAGATCTAAAATGGTCACTGCAATCAAGCACCTGCTGGCTGCTTGGCTCTGCTCTTAAAGTGGCAGGCACCAACAGTGCCCTGCCACGCACCTTCCCCCTTAAAATAGTTCCTGGGGGAGGTTTCCCCTGCTGCTCCTCCAAAGCAGGCTCTCCTTGGAGCCCGTGAGAGCCCTCAAGTGGCGAGCACCCCCAAAGGTGCTCCGCCACACAGTACTTTACAGTTACATGGAAAGCAGAATGTGTCCATTTCACTTACTCCATGTGCTTTTCAGTCTTGTTAATCCTGCTAAGAATGAAAGATAAAATCTAAAGCAGTAGCAAACTTGTTCCTCACTGTTTGCATGGAAGCTTAATTAATGGTGGAATAGAAATGATGAGTCGTAGAACCCAAGGAATATACCACTGGAGGGATTATCATCTAGTCCTCTGAAAAAGGGTCAAGTTTGCCTTGAACATCCCTGACATCTATCTGAATTAAATAGGTATCTTAAAGTTTTCCCTGATAGCTAACCTAAATGTTCCTTAAGCCTGTTCCTTCTTGTTCTACTTAACATAGAAATGGAGAAGTCTTGATCACTGTGTACTTTGTAAAAACTTTTTACATATTGAAAAAGTTACCCCTCTGTTTTGATGCCCCCCTCAGTCTGTTGTTTTATAGACTAAATATAGCCTGATTTTTTTCTACTTTTCCTCATAGATTATGGTTTCTAATCCTTTTGTCATTTTTATTGCTATGGACATTCTCTAGTTTTCACGCATCTTAATGTATGGTACCCAGATTTTATGAATGTTGCGGATTATGGAATTTTTAAATAATATTTCTGTGTTAACTGTGTTCATATGTTATAATGTTGTGTGACTTGGTTTACCTATAATGCTAGACCACGGGGAAAAATTGGTTCATAGAGTCCTGATAAGCAACAGGGTTGCCTATGTGTAGGATAAGACAAGATGGACTCGTAGCACATACAAAGTCTTGAATAGCTTTGTCGACATATAAACAAATGTGAGAGGTGGCCAGCATGCAGGAGGCTGGGCGGAAAGATGGATATAACAATGAACAGGGGAGGCTGAATGAAAGGGGTTGACAGCTCCTTGCAAGAATGTCTCTGGAGAAAGATGACTAGAGGATATTTGAGGGCTCAAGGGCCTAGAAAAACTGAAAAGAAAACAGCTGAACACTTTTGCAGAGACTCAGGGCTTTGTATTCTGGACTGAGGACAGAGGGACTAATTAACCCCTTGGAAGGGGGTCAGGCTACCCCTGGCTATGTGGCCTTTTCCCCAACAAATGTGAAAAAAATCTGAAAAAATTGTCTGCTATGCTGCTTTGAACTTTGACTGCATTTGGTCTCCCAACTAGAGGCAAAGTCCTTCTCTCAAAGGCAAAACTGGATGCTAGCTCCTTATTAGGGCCACAAAGTACCAGGGAAGGTAAGAGACCAAAATACTGGGGTCTCAGAGTGTGAAGGAGCCTGGACTCCTCTCCTTGTTCTAGAAGCCAAGACTGGGCTGGCTTTGGGGCTTTCTGAATGACCAGAGAAGGTTGAAGGTGGTCCTTGAGTAAGCACCTTCTGGAGGGCACCTTGTAAGAACAGGCACAATAATCCACCTCAGGCACTAAGTGGAGTAGAATAATTACTTCACATGCCTTACACACTGCATCCCTGTTAATTCCCAGAATGAGATTTGACATTTTTTTTGTAGCAGCTTCTCATTCTTGACTCATACTTACTGTGTTGTCCACTGTAATCCCTAAATTTTTTTCTTCCGTATTACTGCCTTGCCAGTTATTTTTTGTTTGCACATTTGATTGCTCTTTCCCATGTGTATTAATGTGCAGTAGTTATTGGATTTCACCTTGCTGATTTCATACCATCTCTCTAATTTATCAAAATCATTTTGAATTCCCTTTCTATTCTTGAAAATGCTTGTGACTTCTCTCAACTTTACATCCTTGGCAGTGTTTTTGGGTGTCTATTTCATCATTCAAGTTGTTAATGAAAATTATATGGGAACCCAGATGGTTCCCTCATGGGATCCCACTTGAGATATGCCCTCCCATTGTTGACAGGCAGCCTTTGATAACTTCTTTTTGTAAATGCTTATTCAACCAGTTCTACACCTAGATGACCATTATATCTGGGCTAGGGACAGAAGTTACACATAAACCAGTTTACGTGATTGGTTTAAACCTGTAACAGAACAGAAGTTCTTTCAAAATGGCCACAATTAGTTTAAGATAAACCTGGTTGGATGAGGAATCAGGCTTAACTGATTTAGATTAAACCAGTGTATGGAACATCTGTCCCAGATCACTTCCCGATTTTAAGTTAACTCACAGTCCTCCAGCATCCCAGCATGCTTGGCAGCCCTGAGCTGTGCTCCGACAGAGCAAGGCTAGCCCCACCCCCAGCTATCACAGAGCTGAGGCACTAAAGTTTCAGCTCCCCAGCCTGCTTCCTACTTAGGCTTGTCAGCCCAGAGGGACAGGGGGCAGAGGAATGGATGCCCTCTAGCCCCAGGCTGTACAGCAAGGGAGGGAAAAGCTGCT